CAAGCTCATCTCTACAAACGTATAGTATAGATTATATATATATATATTTATATTTATATAATGATTTATTTATTTTTATTTATTTAAAAATAACTCAAGAGGCTAGTTACCAATCATTTTATGGCTATAATTTAAATTTCGCTCACACATTCTAAGCATGTGGGTTCACACAAAATGCTCATCAATGTAGCCAGAAATAAGTCTGGCATTTCGCCTTTGGAGTAATGGTAAAAAGGGTAATTAAGCATGATGATCGCTCCTAATTTATCTGGACACAGCCCTATTGGTTTCACACTCTTAAGCACACATACGAATACACACACGCACACACATATATATATATATAAACATATTCACATGCTATATATTAGGTGTATTTAGCCGTTTTAATTTAAAGTGATAAGGGGACACACTGATATGAGTAGATTCTATACTTCCATTAAATTTCACATAGCCTTGCTTTCACCAAAGGTCTTCTCATCCAGGGTGAACTGCAGTATTGACCTCGCCTAGGTCTTATCAATGCCTCCAGCGGGACTCGAACCATGACAATGCAGCGTATAATCTTGACATGTTAACCACTACGCCATACTGCCATTAGTGCCCTTGGGCCACAGGGCAGATGTAAGTTGTAAAGAAGAACAAGCAATTTCCCATATCATGATCTTTGGTGGGTTTTTCATTGCAGTAAATTTGCATTTGCTATTGAAAATGAATACAGCTTTATTCTGGTGAGGAGGATGGTTGAAATATTCATATTCATACATATCCACGCATATTCACACGCCTGATTTCTGGCGACCTTAAAGAATGCCTCGAGAATTTAACGTGGCTTGTCGTTTCAGTACGAAGGAAAAGTTGGTTGGAATGGATTCGTGAATCGGTCTCACTAGAGAGTGAAGCGAGAGGCTCTTGAACTGTGTGAACAAGTGCTCGTATCATATCCCTGCGATAAAGCCAACTCACGAATCCCTTCAACAAATTTTTCCTAAGAATTGTAATCTCGAGTCACCTTAGCTACTGCTCCAATTCGACGAAAGTAGTGCTTGTCAAGAGAGACCAAGCTGGGCGTCAGAGTGCGATAGAAGTTTTTTGCGAAATCGCCTCTTCTCCCTGAACTCTCAGAGCCTCGGACTCGATATACAAAATAAAGTCTCTAAACACACACGCATACACACACATATGTATACGCATTCACGCATAAACATATTCATACATACACACACACACAAGAATACAGATACACAGACCAGCACACGCGCATCAAGAGGCCGAAAACTTTGTTGCTGTGTCATCACCGCCTCAGTCGGACGATGTAGAGATTCGCGTTGCAACCTGTGACGAGTTGCCGGCTCCTCATCGCCGGTCTACAGAGCGCTTGGTCTGTTCGGCAGACTTGAGCAGGCACATGCGTCGATGCTTGCACGCCTGCTTGCGCGTGTGTAGGCTCGGGGGTGGATAAGTGGGTGGGGTGGGGGTGGGGGGGAGTAGCGAGAGAAGTTGGCTACCTGAATAAACACGCTTTAGGGGGCTAGACCAACAGTCAAAAAGTCCCATTCCGGCCTGGCGGGGGCGGGGTCCCGTCGGCCGAGGCCGGTCGGGAGGTAGGGCAAGGATGTATGTTTGAGGTGGTGCTTTTGAGTTCATGTTGGGACGAGGGAGGCTGCAGCGTGGGGCCATGAGGAGGAGAGGAAGGAGGAGGCGGACACGGAGACGGAGACGGAGTCCGCTGGAAAGACGGCCATCGGCGCGATCTGCAAATGATAGGCAAATACGGGGGCGATATTGAGGAAAAGTGAGGAACGGGAAACGTAAATCTTTACATATTGCGCCCACCCTCCGGACACGCTGGCATACAACCATAAGAGGCGTATGTGTTCGTGGGGAATAATAGAATTTGAGTACACTCATAAACACAGCACAGCTAATGAGGAAAGCACATCTGATAGGCCCGTCGGTAGGTAGGCTCGTGCAAATGTCGTAAACGTGCAAAACGAAAGATGTGATAACCGAGTCACACGAATCTCGGATGCCTTGTGCTTGCATGTGTGTGTGTGTGCTCGGATGCATGCCCGCGTGTGCGTCGCCTGGCCGTCCTCATGCATACCTGCGCGAACATGTATGCATGTTGGATGTGTGTGCGTGTGTATATGTGATTAATCACGCATATATACGATTGTGTGAACACGTGTGTATGCTGGTGTGACTACAGACAAGAGGTGGCCCCAAATGCGCACGAGTTACTAAATAAACATACGTATACGTGTGGTGATGATAGATAGAGTATGTGTGTGTGTGTGTGTGTGTATATGTGTGTGTGTGCGGTTGTATACTGAGGTGCTGAGACCTTTTTGGAGGTGTGAGTCTGTGTGTGGCTGTGAGGGGCGGGTCGATTTGCCGGTCTAGTGCTCTCGGTTGACTCTAGTAACCATCCCGATTCGGCCGATTCATCTGATCAACTGATCGTGGCCATGGCACGGCCAGAACAACAGCTCCGCAGTCCAGCAACATGGCCCTTCTCGACCGGGCCATTCAGTCAATTTCCTTCCCGTCCCAGTCACTTTCCGCCGCCATAGTCACACAAACTCTGTTGATTCATCCATCCTTCGGGTGTATCTGCGTGTTTGTCCAGCCTTGTGTTTCTAGCCTGTCTGCATGTGCACCTCGGTACCGTCGTTTGCATTTGCATGTTTGCATGCGCTCCTTCCGACAGTCATTGTTCTTCACCTCTTTGGCCACCAGCCAAACCGACTGCCCAACCCGCCGACACAGCTACCCAGACCCAGCAACCGATCACCTGAGCACAGCACATCAACATGAGCTACGCTTACGTTCAAGCGGGAAAAGAGGCTGTCCAGTCCACAATTGACGAGCAGAATGTAGTGACAACAGGAAGACAACGCGGAAGAAACAAGATTGCTTCGCGAAAAAATTTTATCTTTCCTCTCACTTCCTCTCTTTCTCTGTCTCTGACTGAAAATTCTCTTATTATTCATCAACATTTTGTCATAGCTAGTAGACATTCCACAAAATGTCTTGTTGACCGCCTGGTACATCCAACTGGGCACAGTAAAGCAGAGATTGCTGTCAGACAATTAATTGACGTATTATTTTTATGCCGAGAATTGAGTCAATGACTCGGGGTTAATGCATAATTTTATTGAATATATTACTTATATGCTATATTAATTTGGTAAGTGGATTAAGTAGGCCAAAAAAGGAACAAACTATAACAAGTATATGAGTTGTGTTCATCCTATTTTGTTTAAGGTAATGAAGGACTGGTAGTTGCTTTTGCCCATAATGCTATGAGTAGAGCTTGGGGTGTTGCTAAAACCTATGCTCGGTCGAGAACACCTTTTGTGAAATTCAATGAAAAAACATCAGTTCTATTCATATCATTGTGGGAAAATTCAACTACCAGACCTTCATCGGCCTAAACGAAATTGGGTGAACACAACTCATATATCTGATTTATTGGTAGCCTCGAGAATCTGGTCAGTTATGAAAAACGCAGCATTCGCACACAAAAAAATTAATTAATTTCTCGTATTCTATCACTTTAGACACGTTTGCGTCAAATTGCCAAGTTCCATTCTTGCATTCCACCTATGCATACCCACATTTGCCAATTATTTGGTAGCAATATGATCACACCATCACAATGATGCTAAAGTGAGTATATAAACGGTAGATTGAGCTGTTACATGACTCTCCATTTCGAATTAAAAGTGGGTTGGAAGGAAGTTGTGATGCGGCTTCAGTGGGAACCGAAGCAGAATTGCCGCGTTGGGAAGACTTCTGTGTTGTGCGAAGAAGTCCTCGGCTCACCATCTTGCGACCCCGATGAAACTGCGCTAAAGCGTGGATTCTTGCTCTGATAATGTCTGTCACGTAAGGACAGACGAAAACTTAACAGAGGTTCATTGGGGTCGCAAGACGGCGAGCCGATGACTTCTTTGCAGCACTGCTTCGGTTTCCGTTAAAAGCATATAATTCATTCATTCCAACCATCTTTTTCATCAAAATGGAAAATCATGTCACAATATACCCTAAGGATTTCTTCGCAACCCAGTATGTCTTCATCTCTCAGAGGTTGATTAACTGTTTACCTAAACTGCCATCATTTTATTTAGCTAATACTTTGTGTGTCTTATTTTTGTGTGCGTTTGTCCTTCACTCCCGAACCCATCTAGCCATAGTGACACGAAGAGCGAACGCTAAGTGTAAAAGTAAATAATGGAAATATTCGTTGGTAGAACTGAAAACAAGGCAATGACGAGTCCTGTTCTGACTGTTGGGGTTCGATTTATGGGAGACCTGATGCTGTCATAGTCTTCGAGGCAATCATTTCGATCTAGGCGAAGACAGTTCAAGCTTTCGTACGACAAACATTACAACCGCTGACAGTACAGAAAGCTACTTACAATGAAAATAAGTAACGTCGTCGATTGCAATGACAAATAAACTTTGAACAATCGACAATCCAACTATAAATGTAAGTTGAAAAAACTCAACCATCGGTACTAAGATCAGCTAAGTTCTTATCTCAAAATGAGGCTCTATTCAAAGTGGAATACAGTGACCACTCAACTCACCCGGTGGGGTTCGAACCGTGGAGGCTAAAATTCAAAAAGTAGAATGATCGCGTTTTGCATGCATTACCCCACAGTGCATGGGATTATTTGAAGCAATCAGGTTCCCTATGTCTGCCTCCAGCCGAGATGAGGTCGAATCTGTCTGGTTTCAGATGCATGGTACAGTGAATCTTAAAGCAAAATCAAGCCCTCCTCATTTGAAATGCACCATTATTTCACACAGCTTTATACTTGCTGTCGAAAGGGTCAATCAGCACAAGCTACTGGTGGAACGTAACAGCAACCATTATCCATTTAACATTTTCTTCAAGAATGAATGATAGACATAAATCTAAATAACGTGGCCGATTCTAATGAATAAATACAAATTTGTCTAATCACTAATCCACTACAAAGTGTGATGTGGGAAAACTCTAGTCCTCCTTGAAGTTCTCGTCTGTCCCCTGTTCCAGAAGTACTGATGGCAACGTGGCGTGTTGGTAACGTGCCGAAATAATACGGTGTACTGCAACAGTCCGAGTTCGATTCCCGCTGGGGATGTTCATGAGGATGAAATTTCAGTCCACGGGTTGAGAATACCCCTTCGGGAAGCAGTGGAAGCGTGAAGCTGACTCAGTACATTGTGGGAAAAAGTAGCTATATTCTGAGCGCAGCAAATGTTGTAAGTAAGGTGCATTCATTGTAGCTGTGGCGCGCTACGGATTCTTCACATCTGCTTTTTATTTGCGTGACCATATCAGCTGGAATGTTTGAGTGGTGTGCACAGCTCGAGGGTGTTCATCTGTTTCTTGTCCTCTCTGGAGACACAGCTTTCTTCGATACTAGAAAAAAACACAGTAGCCGCCTCTTCATTTAAGGCCTACAAACTATTGCTACTACTAATTGCTTAAGTCAGTAGTGTAACTGGTTTAGTAGTAAGATAAGGTAATCTAAAGTATTATAATTGCCA